TAAAATAACAAAATATATATATATATATATATATATATATATATATATATATATATAAAAGAGTGTCATATTTCTTATATAAAAAATCATGAATAATTAAAATCAATTAACAAACAGTTCTACTAACAAATGAATGGATTAATGGACACTATATTATTTCAGCTTAATTAGTAATTTCAAGTTATATTATATTAACTTAATTATTAATTAGTAATTAATAATCATGTTAGTATTTTATTTCTTCTCTTAATGTTTGTTGTGGAGTAATCAATCATAGTTTGATTTTTTATTCATTAGGTATTGAAAAATATATTTTGTAATATAGAGATAGAACTTGACCTATTAGTTGTCTTAAACTCTTGTTATTAATACAAGTTTATTTATTAAGTATTCAAGATATTGATATTTAATAAGGAAATTTAAGTTCTTTCTTTTAAGAAATTAAGATTTGAGAAAACTAGTGAGTTGACATTAACATTAAATACAAAAGAAGATTGAGTGAATATTATATGCATGAGAATGAGGTTCAATGAAGTCTAATTTCAACTAACATTTCATATTATTTTCTAATCTAAACTACCTTCTAACTATTGGATAAAATACCAAAAAGAGTTTTATTTTGTCTTGCATAATGTTTATATCTTTTTCAAACCAACACTCAATTTATGGAAATATTCTTTTATTTAATTTAGTTATAAATTGTATCTATTGTCGTGTATTACATAAGTCCTTGAGGAAATAATAAAATATTTTCTACTAGTTACTTGTGCGGCTGGTACATTTGTCAAAATCGCTCAATAGATATCAATTCATAATACAAAATGATTTCTCAAATTTTACTACTTATATTAGGAAAGTCCAGTACATTTCGTCAAGTATTGCTCGACTTAGGTGTAAGTCTACCACGACATTGACATGCATTAACCAAGTCACATACGATGGTAGCTTGCTAACTATCATCACGTTATCACATATCTTTCTAATAATTAACTAAGGATTTTACCCATCAACTTCATACCTTACTCAAATTGTCTACTTAATTATAAATCAGTATGGCTCGATTTGATGCCTATATGGTATTAACTAAGAAATTAGAGGACACTCAACACTTCACTTCAAGAGGCAATAGTACTCAAAAAGGCTTTCTTAAATTGGGCTCTTAGAGCCCCATAACACATATTCACATAATGAGATATTTCAACTTTTAAAATAACACCTCTTCTCTAGTCTTAAGTTCACAATACAGTTTAACATCATGCATTATGCATTAAAAACACAACAACATGCTTCAATGTTTATCACAACTTAACATCTTAAATTTCAAACAGCAAGCTACTTTCAACTTTAAAGCAACTTACATTTTCAACATATATCATCATAGACTAACATTCTATGAAGTGGATTCAATTATCATCAATCTTCATGTAAACCAACACAACAAGATATGACTTAAAAGATTCCAAGTTTCATAGGAAAACAAACACTTTAAACCATGAAGTGTGCGCTATGAGCAAACAAAATTTACTCAAAGCGACCAATGAGTGCTCCAAGTGAACCAAGTCAAAGAGCACCTTTGAAATGGTCACACCAGCTCGCTTAAGGGAGTAAGTTTTGAGTAGGCAAACCTAAAATCTCTAACTAGAACAAAAACATGCATCATCCATATAAACAAATTAAACAACTATAAAGTTCAAGTCATAAGAAAATCTTATATATCTTATACTAAACTGGTCAACTTTAACCTCAATACAAAACAACCTTTTAAACAACTAAACTCATAAGAATTTCTTAATCCTTGGAGTTTTAAAACACTAAAACAACACATCATCATAAATCATTTGATTAATAAAATTAAATAAATAACAATTCACAACACAATGTTACAATAGAAGATAATTATGTTACTCTTTCCATTCCATAATAATATCGTCCTAAATTGTTTTACACTGCCCGAGAAAAACTAATAAATAAATAAAAGAAAATAGTAATTTTAACCAATAAAAACTAATAAATATATGAATTTTTTTTTTACAAAATTAGCCTTCTCATTTACATTCTTAACTAGACATGATACAACATAATAACTACTTTTTAAAGAATATTAATTAATACTACATCAAAAATTTATTTTTGAGATTTTTTTAAACACTATTTATTATGTGACGAAGAGAATATGAGTTATAATAAATAAAAAATCTCACAATGTCTTAAAAAAAACTGACATAACTTTAAGTTCTTTATTCTAAAACAAATGTGAGAGGAGGAAATCCTTCAATTAACTAAACTAAATATTTGTATTCTTTACAAATAGTTTTAATTATGTCACTAATTTTATTTAATCTCATATTTGTCTCAGTCTTACGAGGGAGCCATGGAGGTTTGTAGAAGGGAAGCTAAAGACTATCTAAGAAAAGCAGTGAAACCCTACTTCATGAATCATGATGTCGTGTCACAACCATTGTTATTCTCAAACCATGTCTCACTGTAATTTGGGCCAGCTGGACTTAATCAACACAAATTTGTTGGGTTGGGTTGGGTCCAACAAACAATTCTCAAAGGATGATGATATATACACCTCCATTTTTTTATACATATACCCCCTTTTTAAAAAAAATATTAAATTCTTAAATTATCCTTAATATTATTTGGAATAAAAAAAATTATTCTCGAAAGTTTTTTTTGGAGGTGTATTTGTACATAATTATGGAAAGTACTTTCCGGAATACTAATATTACTATTCCGGAAAGTACTTTCTGGAATACTAAAATTACTATTCTGGAAATAACTTTCCGTCGGAATAATTCTGGAAAGTACTTTTCGTAACACTAAAATTACTATTGCGGAAAGTTCTTTCCGGAATTATGATAACAAATACACACACGGTTAATATTCCGGAAAGAATTTTCTACAATAGTAACTCTAGTGTTACGGAAAGTATTTTCCATAATTATTTCGACGGAAAGTTATTTTCGGAATAGTAATTTTAGTATTCCGGAAAGTACTTTCCGTAATTATTCTGACGGAAAGTTCTTTTCGGAAGGCTCATGATATATACACCTCCTGTTTTTTTATAAGTACACCTTCTTTATTTTTTTTTTAAATTTATAAAATATTATATATATATTTTTTAATTTTATACCTTTAACTTTCAATTTTCTACTTTTTTCTTTTTTTTCACACACTTTTTCTTTCTTTCAATTTTTACATGCTACCAAAATAGGTGGGATGAAGGAAAGATAATGGGGTGCATGTAAAAATTGGAAAAAAAAAAAAAAGGATCTGTAAAAAAAAGTACTAAATTAAATGTTGTGAATGTAAAATTAGAAAAAAACAAAAATTTAAGAATATTTTAAATTTTTAATTATTTTTTTGAAAAGGATGTGTACTTATAGGGAAAAGGAGGTGTATATATCATCAATTTTTGAAAAACACTTTCCAGAATAATTTTTTTTTATTCCAAATAATATTAAGGATAATTTAGAAATTTAATATTTTTTAAAAAAAAAAGGGGGTGTATGTATAAAAAAATGGAGGTGTATATATCATCAACCATCCCCAAATTGTCACGTCAAACGGGCACCCCGTTGTGTTTGACCAACATATTACTATATTAAGGCGTTTATTAATTATTACCCGATTCAATTCAATTTAGTACATAATTCAACAGGAAAAAAAAAAAAAAGCAATAACTGAATAAATTAAAATTCAGAAATAAAAAAAGTTAAAAAGTTATAATAATTGGATACGTCAGATTTTAGATCCTATACTGAAAATTTATTCAATCAAATTAAATTAAACTTTGTTATGTAATTATTCAAAAACTTATATAAATAGGAATTTGTTCTACATTATGCATTTGTTCTTTTATCAATTGTAAAATTATTTTTATTTAAAATTTAAATATGATTTTGAATTATACTATGAGTTATATGTGAGATGTGCTTGATTTTGAATTAATTTTCTTATTAGTATGAGTAAAAAAATTATTAGTATTTTAACTAATGCATTACACGATACAAATTTTTAATTTTTATAATTAAAATTCATAATATGTAAATATTTTTAATATATAAATTATATTATAATTAAAATTTATCATAAATAATATCCTTATATCATAGATTATGTTTTAGATTTAAAATGAATAATTTAAATTATATTCTAAAATTATTTTTAATTATTAATAATTTAAAGATAGAAGTAAAAAAAAAAAATTGAGAATTTGAGATGCTCAATATAAAAAAAGGCCTAAAATGTAAGGTAGTCTAAAAAAATGCTAGAAAGGGTGACATGAGTAAGAGTCTCAGTTTCCAAATTATAGTTTTAATTTTTTCTAGCAAAAGTGTCTTAAAAGAAAAGCATGTTTCTTAAAAGTAGCCTCAATTAGATTTAATTTTAAAATAAATGTGAACTAAATTCAGAGAATTTTAAACACGTACTTCAACCGAATCCGATTTTCTAGTTCAGTCCTTTTCTTAAAATCATGAAAGATCATACTCATTGATGGTGCCAATTGAACATCTCGTTGAATACCCACCATTCAGTTTTCACATTGGTTCCATGCAAGTTGCAACACAATGTTCAGAAACCCAAAACCATGTGTTCCACTCTTTCACCATCTTTCCAGATTCAGAATCACACCCAATTCCCTCTGTCCAATCCCTCCTTTCCTCGTACCATCGAACAACCTCTCCACTGATTCCACAGACACAAACCCGACAACATCTGTTCCCATCGATGCGGGCTCTTCGAACCGCAAACCCGTTAGTTTATGGCCCGGCATGTTCCATTCCCCTGCCATACACGCTCTCTGGGAAGCCAGATCCTCCATTTGCGAAATCCCCCCTTTAACCAATGCCACTGCCTATGCCCCCTCTGCTCCCAAAACACCCTCTCAAAGCAGGACTAGCGTCTTCTACAACTTCTCCTCTGATCACATTCTTCGCGAGCAGTATAGGAACCCATGGAATCACATCAGAATGGGCAAGCTCGTCGAGGATTTTGATGCTCTAGCTGGCACCATTGCCTTCAAGGTCCCTTCTTTTTTCAAATTCATTTCTGGGTTTTCTTACTTACGTGTTTATAAATCTTGGGTTTTGCTTATTTTCATGAAATTGATTCCAAGTTCTCTCTTTTTTTTTTTTTTTTTTTTTTTTTTTTTTTTTT